TAGTTCCAAGCTCCCCATGACAATTCATTTTCTCGTGATCTCAGGCCAATAAACGTTATGATAGCTGCAGCACCATAAATTTTCTTTTCTGTATGCCGGCAATCTTGAGCACATTGCCTGCACTGCGTCATGAGCAGTACTGAAACAAAATATTGATGAGCTTTACCGGTTTTTTTTCGTCAGTTTTAATTTTTAGGTTCTTCTTCTTGATGTGCATATTGAGCGATTTGTGCTTCTTCACGACCAATTGTGCCCTGTTCCTCCGTTTGCTGCACAGTGACGGTTTCCTGTGTTGGAAAGTTCCAAACGAGCGATTAGGCGTTTTCATCGAGAAGGTGGAGTATGCTGATTTTGAAAAAGACGAGTTGCTTGAAGGATCGTGATGTACCAGCTAAAACACTGCTGAGCTACCACTCCATGATATGCTTGAGTACATGAAAGAAAAAAGTCGCTTTTAAATAATACATCATCCACATAGTCGTTTTGCCTCCTTCTTTGTAAACAAATGAAAAACGACGAATAAATGCACTGTGACGGCAAGAGATTTCTAGATATACTTCTTCTTTTAACCGACTACTGTTGGTTTGCGACAACTGCCAATAAATTTTCGAAAGCCATCTAATACGTCGGATTTTTGAAACATGACACGTCCATAGGAAAGGTTTTTCTACTTCATTTGTGATTTTCCTAAGTCTCAAATTTGTTTAAAATTCAGGTTTTCGGAGGCGTTAGAAACGAGTTTTAAGTTTTCAAGCTTTTTAATATAAGCACAGGAGGCACAGTGGTAGTGATCTCCGTCATCACGAGCATGGTACTAGTTCAATTCCGCAGCAGGCCACCAACCAAGCCTCTCATCTCTGTGGGGTCGAGACAGTTGCACAAGACTTGTCTGGGAGAAAGTCATTCTCTGCAATCCAATTGGCAACGCACCAGCTCGGCTATCTCAGGATTTCAGGGAAAATTGCTCAACCAGCATTCTACCACATTCAAGATGAAATGAAAATCCTCGAGCAGCAGCCAAAGTCACACGTAGAGAGTTGGAGGATCTCCGTGGACAGTGAATGCGATGAAACGAATCGAATATAAGAAGTGCTCGGATCTGCACTGTAGACGTGAAGTCGAGTCATATAAAATAAAAACATCAAAATAAGCACAGCGGCACTGAAAATTAACGAGATCTTGGAGACTTCATCGTGTACTGCTGAGATATGTTTGCGTAGAAGATGGAAGGAGTGTGGATCTTTAGCCACGACTGAATTGAATTTAATTCATTTCGATGAAGTTCAGGCGAATTAACTTCCATGAATATGCAGTGACACCACCACTAATTGACCTCCGTGCTACGGCGTAATGCGAAATGTTGACATTGATCGAAGTCCTGTAACGATCAATACGCGGACATTAGAAGAAGATATCGGATTCAAAACTTCATTTTCAAGATGATGTTAACGGTGACCGAAAGACTCTGTGGTAATAGCATTTTGTGACAATGTGTGGCACCGTCATAATATGTCTCTAACAATGTAAGATGTATAAAAAAATATTCATTTCCTACTTCCCGAATGCCTTTTGTACTTAAACATTGAAAATTCTACACTTCTGATAGAGGTGTTCGAATTTCTAAGCAACCTTAATTTCTAATGGTTACACAACTGAAGTGGAAGATTGCAAGCTGATTGTTTTTAACCGAAGCAACATTGTGTAACCCAGAGAGATTATGCATGAAGCGAAAATGTGAGTAGATGCTCCATCAAAGTACTCTGTCGCCCTTTAGATGCGGTGCAGGAGGTCCGTCTTATCCTCCATGTCGAGTTCATTTGCTGAAACTTCTTTTATTAGTGAAATATATTATACACGTGGTGTGGGCGTGTTGTGTAACATCACATTATAACGAAAAGAATTCAACCAGTTCTACCGCAACATGCTGGAAATCGGTTGTCACGATCGACTCGTATGGCTTTTAATGAATTGGCTTTGGTACAAGGAGACAAATTCTATGCGTTCATTTAACGCTACGGTTTACTGATCTCGATTGTAGCCTCTTTGTTCTGGTTGCACATCCTAATTGTTCAGTGCTGTTAAAGCACGCTACCAAAATCGCTAGCCATACAAGAGGCGTTGATCATTAAGGAAATTTAATATGTACCAAAAAGAATCGCTTTCTACCTTGCCGACGTTCCATGGTGGATATTGATCACTCCAGAAACATGAAATGTTTCATATTCACCGTATAAGGTGTTCGCGATGAAATGTTTCTATCTTTACGTTGTTCATTTTTCACATAAACTTAACACTCACAAATGCTCTAAAAACACTATGTGACGGTAGACAACGAACTGTTGGAATGCAGACGCATGACACTACCTTCCTGTGTCAATTTTCCAAATCAGCGTGTATGCGGAAGTGCCCATGATCATTGAACTTTTCTGGACTCTTTATTTTTCTTTGCCGACACAAGGTAATCTTTCTTGGCATCACTCTCGATGGGTAATTTAGAAGCATTGACCGACTTTCCATGTCGTTTAGGTAGCGTTGAGAGATAAAGTGAAAGGGTTGGAGTTAAACAGTCGAAAGGTTGAGCACCGATCCGAGTGCTCATAGTTGTCCTCATAATTTCATCGATGGTCTTGTACGCTGTCTAAGCCTTTTGATCGCCTCCTGGTGAGTTCTTTTTCGTCACGCTGATTTTCTCACCTTGAGAAAGATGGAGCTAGTCTAAATTCCTCTTGCTGGACGTGAACAATGGCACTAGCAGAAATCATTTTTATTAAATATCGTGTTTCTTGAAGTTCAGCAAGTTCAACCGGAAAGCGAAAAGCTCTACAGTGTGTTGAAAAATCTTATCAGTAAAGTAAAGTAAACTACTCTATAGCTTATGAACGACATTTGTGTAGTGGGCAGGATGCACAATTTGTGCACAGCCTTTATAATTGACCACTTCTCTTTTAACTGAAACAAACGAAATATTATGGCTTTTTGATTTTATAGGTTATTTCCACCGTCCTTCTAATTTTGGCGCCAGAATAAGCCATAGGACCCAGTCTCTAAGTGTCTATTCCCGTCGCTACCGTACTGGGGGCCTAACGGGATCTTGAAAACGAGGCTTTTATTTTTAATGCCACTCGTGAGAGGGTGCCTTTGAGTAGCGTACCGGATTTTGTCACGGAGGTTGTAACACGCTGCGATTTTCCAAAGTGCACATGAATTTTCTTATAAACCTTCCACTCACTTGATTGCATGCTTTTAACGGTGTGCACACTGCCGTCCTTGTGCACACTAAGAAGCCCGCTCATGTATACATGAATGTATTCAAATATGTACAGAAGGTGTAAGCCAATGCTGCAGATTAGATACGGGATCAGACCATTTCGAATCATTTGATTCAAAGACTGCATAACATTGTTGTTGGTGTTGTTGGTCGATGGCTGACGTTTCGGCCATTTCGCCTTCCTCAAAGTCGTGCTGTTACGAGTGGGACTCTATGACTAATGAACTATACAACACGTATATAATGCTGAGATATTTGCAAAACTCCGGACCGCAGATGTATGCGGTGGGGAACGAACGCACGCTATTGTCATTTCCAGGGAGTAGTGCACTTCACCACCACACCATTCGGGTTCTTCGTTTTGCTTAACTGGGTTCAATGCCGACTTGGGCTACCCAGATCAATCTCGTTGCCGTGTGATTGCTGATGGCAAAAGATCAATAGAACTAGCTGAGAGACAGGCAAAACGAAGGACCCGGATGGTGTGGTGGTGAAGTGCGCTACTCCCCGGAAAGGACAATAGCGCGCGTTCGTTCCCCACCGCATACACATGCGGTCCGGAGTTTTGCAAATATCTCAGCATTTCATACGAGTTATATTTTGCAACATACCCTGACAATAAAAAGAAGAAGGCAGTAAATAAAAGCGTAAAGACTGGAACTATGCAACAGTCTTTTGTTGGCGTGTACCCGACCACACTCCACTTGGGAACTGGCCACGTATCGTCCCGATTACATATTGACAGATTCCTTACATGAGGAAGGATAACTTGTACTACACCAGATTGTTGCCGGATGTGGAAAACCTTTAATGCTGTAGTGAAAAAAGAAACCGTAACGCTCACTATCCGTCGTAGCTGGCTCAATAAACCCGTTCTAAAAAGGAAAGTATCGAAAACCTCAACTAACTTGCTTAAGAAATATAATTTTTCTGTAGTTTTGATCAAAATATTCCTATTTTATTTTTGCCACACATTCCATTTAAAATTTAATCGCAGTCTAGCACATTTATCACTGTTGAAGTAAGGTGAACGAATGTATTGAGGGCACTGCACTCAAGCCTTTTATAGGAGGTCTTACTAAATCTTCTTTGGTACGGCCATGTGTACAAATTTTTAACGCTAAAATGCCCTTGGCGCTAGTTGCTTTCAATAAGAACGAACCCTCCACCATGTTAGTACCCGATACACATACCGTACTGTCCACAGTCAGGAAGTTCTCCTTTGATGCGCGAGTTGTCGAACTCGCGTCCGAAACGATCGGCGCACCAACAGAAGCCGTTATGGCACTGCTCGGGACGATAATATCCCTCTAGATCGCAACGTGGTAGAAAAGCGCCTGAAACCAGAATTTTATCCATATATGGAACAAAATTGACGTTAAGGCAATGAAGGCAGTGGTAGACCGCCTCAAACGGAACGTAACATGATAAGGTCTGAACGAATACTTATAATTCGTTTTTTATTTTTCGAGTAAAGAGACTTACTTTGCCACTCTTATAAATGGAAAGGAGGAATGGAGCTTGACAAGAGGTAGCTGAATATCTCAGTGCGCGAGATGAAGATAGGTGATAAATACAAAATGCCACCGTGGCTCTAGACTCTAAAGCTCTATATTTCCATTTGTTAGCTCCCTATTTCTCCCCCACTATGTTGTTTTCTTTTTGTAACCGACATTCTCGTCAAATTAAAGTAAACAGTTGTTGAGAAGCCTCGCTCCTCTTTACATACGACAACACCGACCCTCACTTCATCTCACAATTCACGAAAAAATTATTTCCATATGAATGAATAGACTAGAGATTGTTACTATAGCATTTACTCCGCAACATCCAACACTTTGGTAAATTTCATCCTGGCCAGAGAACCGATCAAAAAATCACCCATGTCCTTTGAGTAGGTAGTCTCACTAAAAATGGGCAACAAAAACTTGAAACAGAGCAAACTTCGGCGAAGTGTTGGCTGTTGTTAGCTAATTTTTATGCTGTTGAATCAACGAATTTGTCGGGTTATTTAGAGCACTATAGTTATGTCACTAATATTAGTACTAATAGACTCCCAACGGTTTACCGCCTCATCGTGGCTGGGAGGTGTTCCCTGGATGTTGGACTGCGATGTACAGCGGGGATTCATCGCCTGGCAGGGTCTCTCAAGCTGAGAAGGAGTCCGGAGTTTCCATCAGGAAGCCTAGCTAAGAGTAAACCAATAACAAGACCCATCACCGTCCTGGTATCAAAGTCGCATGGTGGCAAATCTCCCTCTGATTCACAAGGGGCTGCTACTGCCTGTCGCGGTGACGATTTGGGACAGACTTTGGCCAGACTATACTCGGGATTCCAGGGAACCACAATGGCTGAGCCAGGAAATCTCCGAAAAATGGAGATTATGTTGGGGCCCACACAACCAGTGAGGACGGGCCATTCAAGTGTCAAGTCAAGTGTCAAGATAGTACGAGTAGTAGTATATAAGTTCTAGTGCCATTCAATCCTATGAGATTGACTAATTAGGAGAAAATGTCGATAATTCGGGACCATGAGCCACTGCACGTTTTGAGGCGTTAAGCCCACAAGGTTTCCTCACGCCCTCAATGAATTTTCAAAGTTTTACAAAAGAAAATCCAAAAAGTTTCTGGAAGACCTTGAATTTTCGTTCGGCACCATTAGCGAGGTGCCCCAAAGCGTCTTATTTGCCAGAAGTCTATGTGAACGGTATTACGAGCTACCATGATCCATTTCGGAACAAGAGCAGCTTCATTCTGGATCTGCCAGCTTCCCTGTGTGCTCCATCGTAGTGTGGTCGTTCGATGTCGGGAGTCAGGTGGCCGATGTCACCATCTCTCAATCGGCCGTCGTCGACTGTCATGTTAATCGCCAATCCGCGATTAAATCCTCGTAAAATTCGACGCCCGCTGCCGTAAACAAAGTTCCGTGCATTGTACGGATCGCAAAACAATGAGCAACTATGCCTTATTGGTCGTGATCGATTTCGGAGCTATTTAAACCCCTGGTCAGTAAGACATACAATCACCACAGATAAAATACACCTCGATAGTATACTTTTCATCCCTAAAATAAAAAACTGACGGTCTTCTCGGAGCCCCTAGAGTCCTCTTTCTTCTTTAGGCGTTTGCGGGTCAAGTTTTATGTATACTGATCATCTTACTACGACCAAGAAAAAGCTCGTGTCTATCAAGGTCTTAAACGAGATGCTTGGTGATTTCGCTTATGAAAATCCACAATAATGCCAAACTCACCGAGAGAAAGTGCTTTAATTAGTTTTAACTTAGTAGCTTATGGATAATGAGTATATAATGAAGCATATATACTTTACAAGGAAGTGAATCTACAGACAAAATGCAGGATAAAAGGATAAAGGATAAAGCTGTCGGCGTTGATCGATTCCTGAGGGATGCTTCGTGCATTCTACTTCATTAAGCATCAGAGGTGATTGAATGCATATATGACCCTGAACTCGCGGTGGCCTACCGATCTATCGAGTCAGTGCTGGTATCCTCCCAGAAAAGTCTGGTATCCATTTGCTGACCCCGAAGGGATGGAAGGCTTGGTGGGCCATGGTCGTGGGGATCGATTCCATGTGTGTGTTGCACGGCGATTCCGATCACTGCACCACACTCGCCACTGTAAAATGCGAGAAAGCATGTTTAAATTGAAGGCTCCAAATGTAGTAAAGCTGGTTAATCGTTTCAAGGGTTCGATCACTTTTAGTTTGTTTGTATTCCTTTCATACATTGCTAACGTTTTATGGTTGTTGGCATTGTCTGTTAAGAACATCCTCAAAGTGATAACTTTGCGACTTTAAAAAAGGTTTTTTCCATAACAAATTTGTTTTTTAATATGAAGGTGATCGCTGAGACCAAAGCAAATCATGGGAAGGTTCCTTAAAGTTTCTTAGCTACAATTCTTTGTTTACGTGTACAGCGTCACTCCGTTCGCCCCAGTAAATGTCCACCTCTTCTGCTTTCGAATAAGAAATAGAAAGATAAGGCTTTTGGTGCTGGTCAATCCCTGGCCCATGCGCTATGCATTCGACTTCATCAGGAATCGCTGAGTTGGCTGAATGCATATCAGTCATAGGACGACGTGGTGGTCTAGCAATAGATCAAGTCAATGCTGCTATCCTCCCAGACAAGCATGTAACCAATTTCCGCACTGCAAACGAATGGGTGCCTAGGGCATGTCTAACTAATGCGCTACAAGCACCCAGATGATTTTGAACATGCCAGACATTTTATGACAATGAATGATTTTGTAAGACACACACCCATGCATTCAATGCCCATAAGGTTAAATACTCCTGTTTTCTTTTCACTGCTGACGATCGAACTTACCCTTCTTGTGCGGATCGACAGAGTGTTTCTGCTTGTGGCATGGTGGTTCATGCCGAAGGTCGTCGGCGAATGAGAAGCAGTCGCACCATTCATCCACCGAGATCTTCCCGTCGACAACCATGTCGTCTGAAATCGGGCATCATTATTCGCTCGTTTCAAATCTCAGCAAAACAAGCGGGCAACAGATCAAAGTCAGGAGTGAGAGTAGACCAAATTGCGAGAGATCATTTTACTCACATATTATAAGCGAAAGAGTGAACTATCGATAGACATGTAACTAGTACTACCAACCCAGTTGTCCGGAACTGCATGCATTAATGAAAAATATTCGGTAGTGTCTTTTACTGGATAAGCCGAAACTCTCGATTATCCTACTATTTTAATAATATTTACCGCATCATGACTAGCTTCAAATAAAATATTTATCACCATGGTGCTGAGATATTTGCAAAACCTCATGGTCTTACGGACCGGCATGGTGTGGCGGTGAACGCGTTAGCACCCGGAAAAGGTAAAAGCGCGCTCGTTCCCCAACGCAGGCACCTGCAGTCCGGAGTTTTGAAAATATTATGGTTCTTTTTTTGTTCACCATTATGGTTCTATTTCGCATAATACCCTGCCATAAAAAAATTTTAGTAGGTAGCAAGTAAAAAGTTAACATTGTGGTTTGTCATTATACCACAGAGAACGTCGTCTCCATACCGCACGCCTTTCAGAATCGAAAACTCGGCATCGAATACCAAACTTAATGACTTATGAACTGATAATTGGTATAGAAACCAGGGTGCACACGTTGTCCTCGAACGAATAACGGAAGCAATCAGAAGCTTAGCCTAAATCAACGATCTCAGCTATTTGGCGTAGAATTGTAGAATAGCGCAAGAAGCTACAGCACCAATACAGGTTCGCAACCTCCGGTGCGCGGTGATCTCATCACGAATCGTGTCGTCGTTTGTGAAAACATTTGCGCATCGCTCCATTACTCAAGAGATTTTGCGTCGTGAAGCACTCTTGGTGTGGTGTTTTCTTAGTCTCGCCGTTAGTTCTTGAAAGACATTAGCTGCTAATCACAACTGCTTCACTTCATGTGCATTGTAGAGCTTACACGAGGTCAATAAATTACTTTTGTTCGGCTAACGTTTCGACGTCTTCGCCTTCATTAGTTCAGTACTTCAACTCAGTTTTTCAAGTAGTTTGGCAATTTCTATGTAAATCTCTTGCAAGTGTTGTTTAGAATGTTTATTTTTGTGGTAAACTTTTCACGAAGATTACTTACTTGTATGGCTTATTTACCTCAGATAGAGCCTCCCAACGGTTTACCGCCTCAACGTGGCTGGGAGGTGTTCCTGAGTGTCGGACTGCGATGTGGGGATTCGTCCCCTCGGCAGGGTCTCCCAAGCTGAGGAGAAGCCCGGCGTTTCCATCTGGAAGCCTAGCTAAGAGTAAAGCAATACCAAGATCCACCACCACCTTGGTATCAAAGTCGCCTGGTGGTAAATCTCCCCCTGATCCACAAGGGCTGCGAGTGCCCGTCGTGGTGACGACCTGAGGCAGACTTCGGCCAGACTGTCCTCAGGATTCCAGGGAACCACAATGGCTTAGCCAGCAAATCCCCGAAAAGTGATCATCATGCTGGAGCCCGCACAACTAGTGAGTACGGGTCGTTCAAGTACCAAGTAAGCATCAAGTTAAATTATCGGAACACAAGTCGTGTGGTGAAGTATAAAATTGAAACTACTTTTTTATAGTGGTGACTTCGTCTCCCCCCTTTCTACTAAATCAAATGTCTTTTCATGTTGCCTGTAACTTTGGACAAAAAAAGCAAAATGGACAGAGAAAAGAAGTCGATTGACTAGAGTAGAACGAAGGAATGCACCCACCGCACATGTCGATAAACTGAGCCACGCAAGCCTCTCGTTCATTACGCTCTAAAGGCATTAGCTCGTCCTGAAATACCATGTGGATCCCCAAAAAGACAAATTCTCTGTTAACCTCAGCATTGATTCATAGTTAGCGGGTTTTTTAAATGAAAACACACGAGGCTGTTACTATAATATGTGTTCACAAGAGGTGAAGTTTCGGCGGATTTCGCCTTCTTCAGGGCTCGGGAAGGTCATGTTGACTGCAGTCTAGTCGGTCAAACGCCTCCATAACCTCAACTGAAAATTCACGAAGTCTAAATTTCAGTCGCACTAGAAACAGAGAAGCTTTTTCACACAATCAAGTAAACATTCCGCGCGGAGACCAACAGTTGAGTATACAGAGACTGCGTTTCGCTGGCGACGATGCCGCATCACTGATCAGCCATGCTGCAGCTGCTTCAGAGATGACCGCTTAGGTTTGCCAGCCCATAGCGAACCCTGTGGCTTCCCTCATAGTTCTCTTTTCGTTTTCATTAGTTTTTTAAGAACCACATTTTAAAAATAAGCTAAAACGAATATATTTGTACTGAAGTAAAGAATATCTCACAAATCTACGACGAACTGCGAAGTTCGCAATGGAGAAGTGAGATAGGAATGAAAAAAAAGAGAATGATTAAAAGAAAAGATGACTAAGTTCTACAAATATAAGAACATATTTTTACTCATTCTGCTGGATTTCCTATACGAATTAACTCTTAGATGTTATTTTACAAATTACATGGATATCATCTACTCTCGGGTCACTTGCGTTTTAGAATTTTCTCCTTTACCACCCGAATCTGCGACAACTTCTTTCGTACAATTTTATTAAGCATTCGAGTTTGTTCTACCTCACCTTGGAAAGAAGCCCGTCTTCATCGCCATCCCATTGCTCAAACATCCACGCAACATCTCTACGACAAGCGATTTTGTGCGCTAAAAATTAAATAGAAAAATAAACGTGAATAGAATAGTGACAATTCTTCATCTTTTGGAAGGAAAGACCATGATGTAGGTATAACGTTAATAGTGATTGAAATATGTACATTTCTATAGTCCAAAGTTTCTATCAAGTGTAGAGACATGTGGAATCAAAATATTCGAGAAATCAAGGTCGGTAACAAATCCCTAGATATAAGTACCTGTCACTGGCACTCTTTTTCGTTGGCCGACCTTCACGCTTGGGCTTGGCATCTAAAAGCTCACGGGACGGCGCAATAGAGGTCACCGCTGCCTGCTGAATTTGAAGGAGGTTCGCTTGGAACACATTCGCGTATGGGAGAACCGCAACCGAACTGCGCAGTAATTTGTGTTGACTTGGGTCTTCATGGTGAACACCTCACTTGTGTCTAAAGAATGTCTAGGAACGCGTAAATCACCAAACACGTGGGTCCTTGAAAGAGAAACGTGTTAGGAAAAAGTGTTAGACTTAGGAATGCGCAGTTATTTTTCCTGCTTTCGATTTTCGTTACAAGGCTTAAAGAGGTGTGCGTATGGAATGTCAGCTCGTATTGCATAGCATCCATGAATTTGTATAAATAATATAAATGTGGTGAAAGCTTGGAAATGAGTGATGTGATGTGAATGTGTTAATTTGAGATGGAGGAATGAAGTTGCCGGTATAAATATGCGAACGTGCATTTCAGAGACTTAAGCTAGACTAACAATGATAGCAAGCAGTCTCCGTGTTTCTTCAAAACAATGTTTAACTATGTTCGTTCAAGATGTCTCCTAGCCCTTTTAAGTGCTGTTTTTTGCAACATCAACGCTTTGGCCATTTGAATAATTACCCAGGATTTCCCGTTGATTTTTTTGAATGTGGTTATCTATCTTTCATTTTATTTCCTTTTATTTCACATTACCCATCGTAATTTCTACTGTACGGATTCCAGCACTTCTTGGGTTCGATTCGCTTCCTCGCATTCATTATCCATAAAGGTCTTTCAATTTTTCGCTTCTGAATTCATTTGATACTCGGTGATTGTCGTCTTCTTCATGAATGTCGTTAAATTTTGATCAAACCCAGCTTCCATGGAGTCCTGGGACAACCGGGTTGGAGCGTTCTCACTTATACTGCAAAGAGTTAAATGTTCCCAGACAAGTCTGGTACCAATTTCCCAACTTCGTGGGGTTGAGAGGTTTAGTGAGCCCAGCGTGGGACCGAACCAGCATTGTGCCCGTGTTAAATGGAATCGGTACCATTGCGCAGATGACCTGGTCTCATCGGATCTGAATACGGGTGGGTGTTCTGCTGTAGACGACGTTACCACCATGGAATCTAATAATGGTCTCACTTAGAAAACAGGTATCTATATTTTGGCAGCTTATCTGAGCCGAACGAGAAATTACTAGGAGAAGGTTCTCGACGAATAAACGGCAACAATGTAGGGACGATTTTGTTTGCATTTTCACCCGAACTGTGATCTACTTTTTCCTCTACAAAAATTAAGATGTCCTAGCACTTTAAATAATTTTCGTTTTTTCTGTTTGAACTGGCTTAATCCTAGAATTGAGATCAGAACGCGTCTTCTTAACCACAAGTTTTCAAGTTTCTTTATTCCCAGAAGGCTTTCGAGCAGATTAGAAATTTCAATGAAATATTTTAAAGACAGTAGGCTCATAAGTAGAGGACAGCACAGCCTCTCTGACCACTGCGCCACACGCGCTCTTGCCTTACGGTGTGTTCATAGAGCGATCAAAGTATTAATAAATTTTCGATTGTATTTGATGGATTATATAAAAGCAAGCTAAGGACTTGCTGCAAAATATCTATCAGGAGCAGGTCGACTTTATCTTCTCAAACGGCTACTATATGCAGTGAAATAAAATTCTGAGTTTTCACTTAAGATAATTTGTCATCTTAAAGTAAAAATCTTCATATATGATTGTTAGTCTTCTCGTTTTCATAGCAGTTTGCACTCAGTTTAGGTCACTTAGATAATAGGAAAAACAATTCCCAGCAACCGTTTGTACGAATGAAAACTCTAGTCTAAGAGAAAGGCCGGCGAATTCCGCTCGTCATTTTAACGCCGTTTATGGTCAGAGAAGTGGCAGTGACTATACCATTGATCTGACGTTTCGTGATTGAGAAGAGGGTGTTGAAAATGAACAGATCTGGAGAAGCCTATTAAAGCAGCAGTTAGCAGGAGAACTTTACAAAAGAAATAGATATAAATGAAGGAGCGGTTCTGGAATGCTTCAACAGTTGCGGAAGGACGAA